ATTAAACATCCTGCTGCTCCTTTAATGACATTAATGAACAATTCAAAAGAGTCTGCAGTACACACCTGTTTCTCATATGACTCTACCATATCTGAGTAGGATGATCTCAGCTAATAAATAGGAATGACAGAAGACTGATATCAGCTCCCCTGTTTCTCAGGATATTGCGTCACCTTTCCCACCGGCACTAAATGACATTGCCGTATTTATACCAAAGCTCAGATGGCTCTCATCAGATGACCGATTGCACCAAGTCTTTGAAAGGTAATTGCCCAGTTAGTGCAAGGCATTTGAGGGTGGAAGAGTTGCTAGAAGCTGGGTTCTCACTTTTTCCTTTTGTCCTCGGAATAAACTTCAGTCTGATCTCACAAAGTGGACAGGCCCCAAACCATCTCTGAGCTAGCTGAGTAAACATTTACTATGGATGAGTGTGAGTACTAACTTCCATTGAAAGGAAACTCATTGACAGGCAGGCCCCACAGCAAAGCAGGAGGTCTGTGTTTGGGAAGAACCTCTGGAGTGTTTGGCAAAGTGGAGGTCACATGGCTTGAAGATGTCACACTCTCAAGCCTTGTCTACAATATTACTATAACCGAATCGAGGGACCTGGTTACAACCTGTTTTAATGTTGTACTGTGGAACATGTTTAAAGGGACATGGCTCTGTGGTAACCACCTACAATTTTTAATCATGTTGTAACCAGATTGACAGTAGTGTTGTTGATGTAAACACAGGAAAATGGAGTTGCCCATTTGGGGAATATGGGGACTGGTTTAGGTTAGTTTACTAACTTTTTTTTTTTAAAACTACTGGCGATTAGGGGAGAAATATGTTATAACCAAGTTCCCTGACTCCTTTATAGTTGCAATAAAGCTAACAATGTAGATGGGGCCTTGGTAGCTTCAGAAGAAGGCCATTGCACTCTGGGGGTAGGTTTTGTATAAAGGAGGCCTAGAGTAAAACCAAACTCAGATGCCAAGCATGAGTAAAGTCTATGTCCCATTTCACTGGGTTCTTTCACTGTTTAAAGCCTCTCATTTGAACCCTGCCTTTGGGATTAATCTGGCAAATGCTGAGTGGGAACACTCAACATCTCACAGGATAGTTCAGTACCTTCCAGGACTGAATCCTTAAAAGGAAACAGAATTGCAAATATTAATGTACTGGCAAAAGCTAAACATCCTGTATGAAATCTAGTATTTCAATTTATCTTACTAAATATAAGGCAGCCTTTTGGATAGTCTAGCTATTACCTATCAATAGATTAGTATAATCTAAAATGATTTTGAAGGGAAGAATTACAGTGCACAACTATGTAATTTTAAAATTCAGAATCAAATTCACCTTCACTCAGTAAAACACTGATCATTATTTTAATGGCATGTCTTGCATCAAAGGCTGCATTAATTGAGTGTCTATAGAAGTGTACATGCATGATGAAATCTCCATGTTTTTATAATATACATTTTAAGGAAATGTAGTGCCCTTAAATGGTACTGAACTAATTGAATTCCTCTCTTTGTCGACCACACAGGCAGCCAAATATGAGGACACTCATATTGGCAATGCATATTTCTCCAGTCTGTCTCACCAAAGTACCTTAAGCCTATCCTGAAGTAACCACCCTTTGGTGAGTTAGTCACCACACATTCAATCAACGTCAGTGCCAATACACTTCACAATGGCCACTGACCAGCTGTCAAATGGCAACAGTGTCTCTTCCCTACTGTACAGGGCTGTATTTGACCCAGTGACCTAGAGATGAAAGGGCTGTATCCCTTTACCAGTCCTATACAGTCCCCCAATGGATGGCATTTACACATTTTAAAATGCTTATGGATCATTTTAATTTTCAACAATTTTATATCTTGTTACAATTATGGTTTTCAATAAGGAACTCTAATGTTTTGATGTTGCCCCCTCTATGATAATGTGATAGAGTTGCCAACCCTCCAGGATTGTCCTGGAGTCTCCAGGAATTAAAGATTAGACTTTAATTAAAGATTGTCATGTGATGAAACCTTCATGAATACCCCTAACTAAAATTGGCAACCTATGAGATGATATAGAGTCTGCACAAGGCCACTTTGGGAGGAAGTCTGCAGTCACAGGAGACAAAGGAAAAATCAGCAGGGGAGCCCATCATGGGATATTTAACATCAAGACTGGATGAGAAATGCAGAGAAATGTCAGACTGTTTGGGATAAAATATTATATTTTGGTAAGTGTTTTTTTGTTGTTTGTTTTTGTTCTTTTTTTAATGTGAGCATGGTGGGGAGACTTAATGATCACGCTGGGTAGAGTTCAGATAGAGTTGAACAAGCATTTCTGCTTAAAACACTTGTACTTACAAAGAGTAGAAAGGGTTGATCCTGTGGTTAAGGAACGGAAGTTGCTATCAAAGATCTGGGTTCTATTCCTGTCTCTGCCACAGATATTCTGTGGGATCTTGGGCATGTCATTTAACTTGTTTTAACTGCTGCTTCTGTCAAATGAGGATAGTGCTTCTTACCTAGCTCACAAGGGTGTTGCAAGACTTCATTGTTTATAAAGAGCTAAGATATCATTGACTGGAAGGTGTTATACAAGTGCAAAGTATTTTTACTAGACAAGGTTCCTTAAGGCAGTGCTTCTCAAGCTATCTGATGTGGAGGACCGGCAATTTTTTTTTCCAATGTGCCAGGGACCGATGCTATATTATTATCCTATTTGACGCTCTAATGAGGAAACTCGCCGCGGACCGGCAGCCTATGGCTCGTGGACCGGCACCGGTCTGCGGACCACCACTTTGAGAAGCATTGCCTTAAGGCACAGCTTTGCCTGCTCTCTATTGAGTCAGATTCATTATTGTGATTAGAAATGGCTGAATAATCTGCAAAGAATAAATTACTTCACCAATTTATGGGAGGGTTTTTCAGCTCTGGAAATGTCATAGCAGATTTTGAATTTGTCATATGACTGTATTTCACACATCTTTTTGAGAATATTTTATCTTTCTGAATTGTTTGTGAACAGCATTACATATACTTGGTATAGTATGGTAAAGTTTGAGCTGTTGTGGTTACTCAGATAAGTTACATTGCATCAAGTCAGATTCTGGCATCAGTTACTCAAGATACATACTGTTGTAACTCTGCATTTGCACAGCTATAAATGGGATTGAAAGTTTGCCCCTTGTTTCTGTTCACTGACCGAACCCATGCCCAGATATTGCTGGTGAGAAAACTGAATCTGAATCCTTCCCATGCTGCCAGAGCCAAATGCTACATTAAGGCACAAACAAGGCTCTGCCATCCCTGTCTATCCTGGACTGCTCTTTGCCTGTCCTCTGTGTTTAGTCCTTTTGAAATCAGGTGATTAGCCAATGTTTGGGGTCTTGTGGTTTGTTTCTATAAGGAGGAGAAAATAGAAGATGGAATTGGGTATTTATTTGATGCAAACCTTTTCATTTACAAACACAGACACTGGTGTCAAACAATGATGCATTCTCTCACCTCTTCTGTTTGGCATTACCATTGACCTCATTATGAGAGAAAGCGTAGACCAATGCAAAACAGGCATTGCATGGGTCAACAACAGGACACTAGAAGATTAAATTTTGCTGACAACACAGCTCTTCTGAGTGGCTGTTCAGCCAACGTGCAAGTCAAGATTGAAAGTATCACAAAAGAAAGGGTTAATAGTTATGAAAAATAAATAAATCTGAGAACCCCAGCAGCTCTGAACTCACGCATTATGTTAGAAGGCAAAGGAATACCGGGGTGAGTCAATTCTCATATCTTGGCAGTAGCACTGAAGCCCAGGGGGATGTCCAGAAGGAAATAATGTCATGAATTGGCAAGGTGGCAGCTGCTTTCATTAGCTTGAACAAGACTTGGTCACTGAAAATCTATAGTTTAAAGACCAAACTCTCACGCTTTAACTTAAATGTTATTTCCACCTTAGTATAGGAATGTGAAAGCTGGAAATCCACCAAAGGTATAGACACATGTCTAAATGTCTTTGGAAGAAAAAATACCTCAGGAGAATACTAGATATATAACAAATGCCAAGATTCCCTAGGAAGTTCAACAGCTTCTTATCTCCAAAGTTATCTAGAAAAGAAAATAGAAATATGTGGATGCATAGGTGCTGGAACCAGGGTTGCTGGAGGTGCTGCTGTGCCCCCTGTTTGAACTGGTTTCCATTATATACAGGGTTTACAGGCTCAGCACCCCATTATATAAATTATTCCAGCACTCCTGGTGGGATGTGTTAAGAATGAATGCTCATGCCCTTCAGGGCAGGGACCATCTCCCGCTCTGTTTGTACAGTGTCTAGCACAAGGGAGTCCCATTCTTGGCTGGTCTTAGGCACTGTCATACTAAACATGTTAAATAACAATAAATGTTTGCCATGGGGGGGGGGAGGGGGGTCGGGGGCAGCTGGAGGAGAGAATACCCATAAATGCAAACATGAAACTCTTGGTTTGTAAATACACGTATGCCTGAAATTCACTTTCCTTCATGTTTGCACCACTAAAATCAATCGCTGTTTGCAGAAAGCCAGCACAAAACGCGTGGGAATGTTTATGGGAATTTGTACTGTCCATCGCTAACATGGTTACTGTACTGTCCATGATTAACCACTTCTGTAAGCGGGGTTTGTCAGGAGTCGGACTTGTCAGTGTCACCCTTGTTTTACCTCCTGAATTAGGTGCCATCAGCCTCCACTTCACAGGTGAAGCTGTGTTAAACACCGTCTGCTTTTCTCTTCCTTCCCCTCCTCTCGGCAAGCAAGAATCTAGGTAATGCTGAATTTCTTTTCTCTCTCTTTGCGGTGGGTTGGTGGTGGTGGGGGTTAATTACTGGGTTGGTTGGGCCCAACCCGGGCCCACCTTTCCCCGCATCCCAATCTCAGCGGTCATTGTATGTCACTTGCTTTGAAGCGGCAGCAGCGTGCAAAGCCCGGCGTGTGTGTTGCTGTAGGCGGGTCCCCCGGTGGAAGCGAGTGACCCGCCCCCAGCCTACCCGTGTTTTATTTAACCAGATCCCGGACTAGCAGCGTTTGGGAGGGTGGGGGGCAGCGGTGTGGATGTCCCCGCTGGCGGAGCTTCCCGCAATCCTCCTCTGCTCACCCGCCCGCCGCCGGTGCTGGCTGTCCCTGGCTGCTGCTAAACCTCGCTCAGGAGCCCCGAGCTGGCACTGGAGGGAGGGGGAGGCAAATCACACCCACAAAGGGAGCAGCACAGAGCTTCCCCCCCGCTTCTCCTTGCAGCTCAGACATGGGGCCGATCGCTTGCAGCGCTTTGCTAGCCACCCTGCTGCCCTTTGTTACCCGCGGATTTGCTGACACAGCCAGGTTAGTAGACCAGGACCGGCCCAGGGCACTGCTCTCCTCTGCATTGCACCGAAACCCCGCGGGGGCCATGCAGGGGAGGGTGAAATTGGGGGGGTGGTCTGCCTGTCTCTCCCAGCGAAGGAGCGCTCAGACCCTAGGCGAGAGCGGGACAAGCTCTCTGCAGTGACTAGAGCAGAAGTCGTGCGAACCATTAATGCGCCGAGTGTCCGCCCTTTGTTTCTGCTGACCAGCGATCAGGGAACGGGCGCAGTACAGATGTGTTGGTTAGTCTCATCTGGTTGCTGAACGCTTCCTGGGACATATTTCACCCTGTGGGTTGTCCGCCAGCTGTTTGCTTTGGCCGTCTCTTCCACGGTTCGCTGTCGGGGATGTGTTTCTGCTCTGATGGGTGAGTGAATCTCTTCAAATTAAGAGGAGGGAAATCAGAGATATCAAGGTGGCGATAGAAACACTTTTCCTATGAACATTTGCACAGACACCTGTCCACCTCTCCTGGTGAGACTGTTTTGCTTTCTGCAACCATTCATGAGAACAAGAAAAATCACTTGTACTAATGATAACAGAAAACTAATACAAAGGGCTGTTGATTTTTTTTATTAAATTAATACAGTACTTGCAATTTTTTCTTCAGTATTTTCCCAGTTCTACTCAAATGTATGTTAATTTAAGTTTTTCCCCTATTCCTCTACATGATGATCCTTTTTAACAACATATATGTTGGGGATGGATTATATAATGTGTGTGTATTGGATGTGTATTGCTATACGTGTGTTAATGCATGTACATTGGTACATTACAAATAGATGTACCTATCTCATGATACCTAGGTATAAGTGTAAAACATATATTATGTGAATTGAAATTAGAGAGAGACCCAAGCTGAACATTTCAGAATCAGATTCCTAACACTGCAAAGTTTTGGAGCATTTGGATCTAGAGTTTTAGGTTGATCCATTATAAAGATAGTGAGGAGGGGGTGTGAAATGTGGATTCTAGTTAGGAATTTGCAACTTCATGGGTGGCCATACCTGGAGTTTTGTTTGGAGCCTATCACTAGCTTTAATGTGTATTATTCAATTCAGGTTTGAACACCTGCTTTTGCTTTTTCCTTCTTTAACTAGTTTCTTATCAGTGGCTGTTGCAGCAGCTGATTCTGGAGGGCAATGATCCTCTTGAACTTTGATTGGGTGCAAGCAGCCGTTTGTGGTGATCAGCTTTTCCTATTTATGCTGTTGCTGCCTAAGCAGAGAGATTCTTGTATGGTACTTTGACTGACAAGGATTTAATAGACTTTCCATAGGCATCTATATCTTCATGTGTTTTCCCCCAGAGCTCTGGATGCATCAAACCCTCAAGCATTTTCCAGTAAGTAGGTGCAGGTAGATGTGTTTAAATTAAGAACTGCTTGATGGTACAGCTCTGAGTATAGCTAGGTTCACCAGATAGCAAGTGTGAAAAATCGGGACGGGGTGGGTGGCAATAGGCGCCTACTTAAGAAAAAGCCCCAAATATCAGGACTGTCCCTATAAAATCAGGACACCTGGTCACCCCAAGTATAACGCTACTGAAGAGACAGTTATTAAGACCTTCCCTCTATTTTACAGACTATAGACTAAACTTTCCCTGGAGTAATTCCGCTGAAGTCAATGGGATTACACTGGGGATGGCTCTGGCTCTAATTTAAAAAAACTCAGGAGATATAGATGAATACAAAGAGGGTAAGCAAAATACAGAAAGCTATAAATTGTCCTTCTCTTAAATTTGCTTGTAGAAATAGACACTCTTAATAACCATATGTTAAAGGTTTTTAAACATTTGTATCCCACAAGGAGAACATCGAGGTAAGGTCCAGCATACAATTTTGAGAGGGAATTAACGAAGTTATTCAGTATCAGACAAACTTTTCCAGGGCTTCACATTCAGAGTTAAGCAAAAAGCCATAAAGACTTTATTTACTACCAATAAAATAGTAACTATTAAAAAGGAGAATTCATAGCAATTAGAGATGAAGTTTTCAAGATGTAGCATGGTTTATTTGTTTAGCATTAGGATCATGAACTGGTATGTTTCTTATCAGCAAGTGGAAGTGTGGTGTTCCAGCATGTTCAGAGCTGTCAAGTGCTCAGTTTTTCAGGAACTGAACAGGGACTCAAGTGTGTGAACTCCAGAGCTGCTCATATAGAAAACACATTTTGCACTTCAAGCAGGGCATCCGTAACCAGCATTATGTTCATGTTCGTTATTTCTTGAGGTTTTATGCATTTGTGTTTCAAGCTTTTTCAGAGTCCTGAAATTGCAGAATGAAAGCATTTCAACAGAAAATGTTTCTTTGATTATTTTTTTTTAGCTGAACCAGTGATGTGTTGTATAAAAACCTCAATTATATAACATTAAACCAGGAAATTTGAAGACTGATTCTTGCTCCATGTCCAATGCATGGGTATGACAAGACAGATTGGTGGTGGCGGTTCCCAGTGGTTTTTTTTGGCCAAGATCAGAGTTGCATCTTGTTCTAATAAAAACAGACTTTAAACATCTAGATAGAAGGGTTAAACAGCATGTTAAATAGATTTTGTAGAGGATACTAAATTAAAGGGACTCAAAAATACCAAGTGTCCTATAGAGTTTAGAAATATGGACAGGAAATAGCAAAATTAGAATCAGCCTTGAAAAACTGAAGTTAATACTAATATTATTTTTCTAAAAGGAAAAATGATCAGTCACTGAAAAGGCCGAGTCCAGGAAAGAAATGATAACAAAAGGAAACATCCAGGTCATAAATTGTTAAGAAACAAGCTTGCAGAGAGCTAAGAAAGATGAGACGAAAAGATCGATAAGATTTTTTCAGTGTGGTCAGAGGCATTCATTGTGGAGCAGATGAAAATGGTTCTTTTCTTTAAAGTTCAGGTTATTCTACATATTAGGGATGAAATTCTGGTAAAACTTCCATTGATTTCATTGGGGCCAGGATTTCACCCTAGGCCCTAGTCTTGCAGTACTAATTCAGGAAAAACTCCCATTGATTTAGATGGGAATGTTGTCAGCAAAAGGACTGTAGAATCAATCCATTTGAATACTGTGTTCAGTTCTAGGTCTTTCATTACCAGAAAATATATTTGAACTGCAAACAGTTCAGAGAATAGTGACAAAATGGTGACATGCTGAAAAGAATGGCTAAACATTAGAGAGAGAATTAAAAGAACTAGATTTGTATAATGTGATTAGAGGGAGATGGGCATGAAAACAGTCTACAGTTATTTAAAGGGTAAAAAACCAGGGCTGAGTTGTGCCTTTGAGGCATAACCATGCTGTAGAGGGTTTTTGGGGGGGAGGGGCTGGGAGGAGGAGGAAGGGCATGATGGAAACCTTAGGCAAATTCTTGCTGACTCAGCCAGAATTCCTCCTAGGGTTCTGAAGGAGCTCTCGCTGAAGCTGAAGCTTCACCATAGGTACGTCTTCACTACCCCCCATATCGGCGGGTAGCAATCGATTTATCCGGGATCGATATATCGCGTCTCGTTAAGATGCGACATATCGATCCCCGAACGCGCTCACCGTCGACTCCGGAACTCCACCAGAGTGAGCGGCGGTAGCGCAGTCGATGGGGGAGCCGCGGCCGTGGATCCCGCGCCGTGTGGACCCCAGGTAATTTGATCTAAGATACTTTGACTTCAGCTACGCTATTTAACTAGCTGAAGTTGCGTATCTTAGATCGATTTCCCCCCCCCCCCCAGTGTAGACCAGCCCCATGTCTCATAACCAGAGTTGGCTAGGGCAAAGTTGGGAATATCCTAGAATATTAGGGTTGGAGGTCATCCAGTCCAACCCCCTGCTCAAAGCAGAACCAACCCCAACTAAATCAAATAACAGAAGATAAATGACAGGGATTTGTGCAGATTGATTTGTTTTTCATGAGAGGTCATAACTCAAAGTAAAACAAACACACAGCTTCAAATGACACAGTGCTTAAGTGTATGTATACAGTACATACCATAAAGCATACCTATTATTTATGGGTGTATCTGTCACAAGTTAGCAATATAGTCTGGGGTAAGAAGAGAGCCAACTCTATTTTTTTTTCTCATATCATCCTTAACACTGATTGGGTCACTTCCTCAGTTACTCCTGGGGGAATTCTGCACCAAAAAATTAAAATTCTGCATACAATATTTTAAAATTCTGCACATTTTATTTGTCAAAATAACAATATAACAATCACACCAGCTTCAGTTATTTTGGTAATTTATTTCAAAATACTTGTCAGCAACTATGTCTGTAACAATACAGACAACAAAAAAGATCCAGGAAATGTTTTTTTGTCAAATAGATTCCTTACTAGTCATATTAATACAGAATTCTGAGTAATACATCTAAACTACAATACAAATGTATTTCCCGCACCCTTCTGAAGCAGTGCAAAGGCTTGGCTGAGTCGGGGTAATGGAGGAGCTGAGGGAAAGGGAAGGAGCCTAGGTGTGAACTTGGAGGGTTGTTGGATGTAGGCAGAAGTATGGAACAGGGGTTTGGGGTTGTTGTTTTTTTTTTGGAAAGGGAGGGATTGTTAGGGATCCTCCACCATGCAGACCCTGGCTGACCCCTAGCCTCTTTCATTCAGTTAGGCACATTTAGGCACATTTTCCCCTGTCCCCATGTGTCCCTGCACCCCCTCCTTCCTATCCCAAAGTGGCCCTACACCCCTACTCAGCCATCCCACCAACCCCATGTGACCCTGCACCTCCAATTCAGCCCCCCAGTCTGTGACATGCAGCCCCATGTGTCCCATGCTGTCCATTCCCCCCCCCCCCATATCCCGTGTCTCCTGACCTGACCTCATGGGCAGGCACTGTGAGGAAGGCAGCTTCTCTTCCCTCTGCGCAGTTGGGGCTGGCTTGGGAGCAATTGCTCTGTTCTGGCACCGCAGTGGCCCCTCTAAAAGGCATAACTGCAGCAACTTTCCTGCAGAATAATTCTGCCCAGCACATGAATTCTATGTGAGTGCA